GAAAAGAGGATGGGCTTTCTAAAACTGCAGCATCGGTTAACAATCTAGGGAGCTGGTCCCAAACACGAGGCAACCTGATGGCTACTGAGTTGAAAAATGCTTGGGTCCTTGATGCTTGGTGACGGAAACACAAGCGATCATTATGTCTGGTATTGATTTTGATACCATCATAAACCGTGCTGCAGCTTAGAAGGCCCATCAGAACTTTAAAGCAAAAAATAATAAGCAATTTGTCCCTTCTGACAGACAAAGAAGAAAAAGCAGAGACTAAAATGTATCTAAGTATTATATAAAATTATACAATAATGAATGCTACAATAGTAACATTCGAGACGCATAAACATTAGGTACAAGATTGTTTTATTGTATATATGGTAGACAATCGTTTTGTTAATAAATAAAAAAAAAAACAGAACCTTACCAAAAACAGTTTATATGAACCATATGCATACCAATAGGCCTATCACATTACAAGCAAGGCTAAAATGTATCTAATAAATCAAATTTAGTATTTTATAACGTGGGATTATTGTATGAATAAAACCAACACCACTGCATGCCATCTAACCATAACCTTTCTTTATAATCATATATCCATAATATAAAGCATACCAGTATAATATGTTTTTCCTATCTTACAGCAGCTAACATACGTATATTTTAAGTGTAAATCAAACGATAGCCTATTAGAAAAACATGGCATTGCAAAAGACAGGAGGCACCCCTTCCCCAGTTATTTCCCGGCTGATTTATCCTAGTTTTTACCTCTAGTATTTCCCCATTGCTGAATGAAATATTTTTTTAAATCAAGATTTACATTTATTCTTCTTTTTAGTATTATTATAATATATTATTTACGGTAGAAAAATGTATTTTGTAAAACAGTAATTAACATTGTAATTGTAGATATTTGTTTTTACAATATAGGCAATTCTTCCTGTAGTTTTTTCTAATATCAAAGAAAATTCTTCTAGGATTTACAGTTATTTATAAACAATTTTGAGTCCAGTAAGTTCAACCTAATTGCTGTAGAGTAAAAAGGGGGAATTAGCACAGAGAAAAGAGTCAGAGAAAACCGAGAGAAATAATCGGGGATCGGAAAAGAGTCAGATCACAAAGTGTATCGTATGCTCTCCGGTCAATCAATAACACTTTACTTATGGCAGAGCACAAGGACAGTATACAGCAACTAGTAAAAAAAAGAGAAATATAATGTCATCATTAAAGTACGTATAAAAAGAAAATGTCTAAAATCACTGATAATTTTGTTAGGTCCTTAAAGCCAGGCTCTGGAGGAAAACAATTTTTGATATGTTGTTCAACTGATTTTTCTGAGATACAAAAGGGGTGTTGGATGAAAAACTAGGAAATGGTTGATGAGATACAGATATTTGAATATTTGAAAACGGGAAAGGGTGAAAATGGGGTTACGCCCCTTTTTCTCCAGTTTCTTAACATTCAAAAGTCGTTATCTCATTAACCGTTTCCTAGTTTTTCTTGAAACACCCCTTTTGTGTCTCAGAAAAATCAGTAGTACAACATATAAAAAAGGAATTCCTCCGGAGCCTAGCTTTAAGTTTCGCGACAGCACCGACATGCAACGGATACATTGTTCCGAAAAAATGTTGGGATTTCGTAGGACGCCGTAAACAATCTTGACGATATCGTAAGTGTAGGCCTACTACAATAATTCGGAACCAGTGGTGGCGACAGGATTTACCTGACACAGAAGTGGGAATGGTGTCGATACATATTTTCTCTAGGACGAAATGTATTCGCAGCTTTCCCCGGCGGAGGGGCCCTTTCCTCCCGCTGGCGTCACCCCTGTTCGCGTAATAGTCACTAATCGCACTACTGCCGTAACACAATTTGATTGACAAGGAACGTTTAAGTACGAATTACAGTACACAGTGGTGGCCGTCTTGCTTTAGTGATGATCAATGCATATACAAGTGATGGACCTTTTCAAAGGGTCAATCAAATTTATCAACTGACCACACAAAATAAGCCCAAAAATACGCACTTGTCCCACATTACACTCATGTGTTCCTTAAACGCATAGGATTACCTCTTTTTTAACGTTTTAAAATTTATAATTATAGCATTATCGCAAGGCGGTTTATGGTGTATCCCAATATTGTATCATGATTTGTATCGTGACGATACAATGATGACATTACGATATAAAAATAGTGCGTCATTAACAAATCTCTCGGATTAAAAAAGAGCGCGTCTTGGGCATGAGGCGAAAAAAAAGGTGTTTGGACGCCTCATTAGCAAATTCCCCTTGATCTTTTAGGTTTTTATTTTGTAGGGCTTACATCAAGTCCCTAATCGAAGAAAAGTGTGATTAAATTATTATATACCGTACCGTATCACAATAGAAAACATAATATATATATTTCTATTCCAGGCACCTATGAAGCATTTTTTCGGAATGGCCCATGACCGCTATCACCTAAAACCATTCAAAACAGTAGTGATATTTTCCATGAAAACGGAACCCCCAAATAGCCAATAAATAATACATTTAAATAACTTACCTCGCTCACAAGTTGGTCCAACAAAACCAAATGGACATTGACAAGTGTCAGAGATACATGTGCCACCGTTAAAACACTGTTTACCACATCCCGACGACTCTGAATCGAATATTAATTACTTAATATTATATATCTTGTTTCTAA